CATAGTTTGGAGAGCAGACAAACTTGTCAGAGGTTCCTCTTGATGAAAGGTCTTGTAATGTGTGACACCTGTCGCTGATCAGTCATGTAATGTGCAAACCAAAATGACCAAGATTTCAAGACAGCAAGTTGTGTAGCGTGAACAGTACAGCGATATTTTACAAGCTTTTCTTAAACTGGCCAGCAATGACGAAGCAAAACAATGTAGACTGGCATGAATTCCACCCAGGAGTCTGGAGCTGGTCTAAGCTGGTTTAAACTGGTCTGGAGCTGATAGCTGGTTTATGCTGGTCTGATGCAGGTCTATGCTGGTTTATACTGGTGTGGTGCTGGTCTCAGCTGGTCTGGAGCTGACAGCTGATAATACTGGTCTAATGCAGGTCTGTGCTGGTTTATACTGGTGTGGTGTGGGTCTAAGCTGGTTTATGCTAGTCCAAGCTGCTCTGGTGCTGGTCTATGCTAGTTTTTTGGGTCTGTTGCAAACCCAAGTGCTGGTTTATACTGGGCTGATACTGGTCTAACATGGTTTATGCTGGTCTGGTGCTGGTCTTTGCCAGTTTATGCTGGTCTGTGCTGGTGAAATGCAGACTGAAGACACGTCTCTGTAAACAGCCCTTAAGTGAGCGCTGAGTTAAGTCTTTATTGTAATGTATTGTACTGCACTTGTTGAAATGTATTGCACTGCGCTGTGTTTACCTCTGTATCAACATGGACTTTTGTTTCTAGCAGTATCTGAGCTCAGGACTGGCTTTCTCTCTGACCTATTGGTAACTAGCAAAGATACTTTCTCTAGATAGACAACAAAGCACTGTAAGTCACTCTGGATAAGAGCGTCTGCTAAATGCTGTAAATGTAAATGCAGGTTTATGCTGCTCTGGTGTTGTTCTAACCTGGTTTATGTTGGTCTGGTGCAGGTCTATGCGGTTTTATGCTGGTCTGATGCAGGTCTATCCTGGTTTATACTGGTCTGGCACTGGTTTATGTTGGTCTGGTGCAGGTCTATCCTGGTTTATACCAGCGCTGCACTGGTTTATGTTGGTCTGGTGCAGGACTATGCTGGTTTATACCAGTCTGGCACTGGTTTATGCCGGTCTGGTGCAGGTCTATGCTGTTTCACGCAGATACTGGCAGGAAAAGGTTAACAATCTCATTATATGTCACTCAATATGTACCTCATGTATCATCCTGAGTTTCCCACATGTAAATGTCAGTGATGAACTGTGACTATTAGAGCTAGGATTTCAGTTCAGGACATAAATACCAAAACTTGTAAATCAAGTAATCTGTAAAAGCCGACCGGTTGGCCCCTCTGTCACTTCCTCATTATGTTGGTAGGTAATCCAACTCCCAGGTCTGGCTCCTGAAGACATAACCAATGGCAGAGCTCATCCTGCTCTATCTACCTAGATACCACACAGAAAACAATCCTGATTGGATTATTTTCTGCTGGGTGTTTAATTCATTCATTTCCAACCAAAACATAACAACAGAATAAGAGTATCACTAAAATACATAGAGTTTAAATACAACAAGTATGATGACTATACTAAATAAAAGTTACAGACAAATATTAGTTCATTTCACAGAGATCATTAGACCTTCTCTGAAGATCTAAAAGACCTTCTAGACCTTCTATACGATTTTGTTGACTATTTGAGTGTAATCAGTCGGAAATTGGTATGTCCCACGTTCCACACTGCTGGAACCCAGTATAATGTGGTTTTGGTCCCAGTTAACCTGTGAATTATGTAAGCGTCTGTAACCAGTTCTCAGTTCTGCATCACTGTGGTTCTGTTGCTAAGCGATCACACTATTAGTAAATAACTCTAAGAAAGTATGATGTAAATTCTCCAGAAGTCACCGTACAGCACACGCAGCCACCGCCCCCCCGAGAAATGCATCAGTGCAGGCAGGATGTGATATTAATGTAGTTCAGTCACGCTGCAAGACACAGCAAGCTAGAGATCATGCACAATAGCAGAACCCTTTTTGGTGCTATATAAAACCAACACATTCTCCATCAATCTGAAGAACCATTTCATCTGCAAAGAACCCTTTTAGCATGCAAATGGTTCTTTGAATGTGCATGGTTCTGTACACTAAAAGAACCCTTTTTATCAATGTACAAGCTTGAGATTGTGTGCAATAGCAGAACCCTAGAGTGTTCTTGTGCTCATATGCGTGAGTTTAGATATTAGCTGTACGGTAACCGGCCCATCAGGAACTCTCCCGACTCTCCCGATCACCTACTCTGGCACCGGTGCTGTTTCCGTAGGGTCGGACTCGGTGTGAAAGAAAAAGGGTTGGAAAGACCACACAGCAGAAATTCCACTGCTGTCCAAATACATACTACACTTCCCCAAATCACACTTACGTTCCATTTATATTTAGCTCTGCTTCTCGTATGACGCAGTCACATCAGGCACCCTGACCACTGAAGTCATTCTGCTCTTAGCATCACGCCTGTATTAGTGAACTCAGCATTCTGGGAAAAATCACCACCACCTCACCCTGAACACAAACTTCCCTGAGCACATTTTCCAGTGAGTGTTTCGGAATACTCTGAATTATGAGGTCACTAAGCAACCGAAATATAAATAATGCTATATAACAAGCTAACACTTAACACTGCTCACTGAAATGACACAGGAATATGAGTCTCTCATTAAGCTTCAACACTGTGATGGGTCATTCTCTTAAAAAGACACTTCAAATATCAGTCACAGCTCCAAAAATATGTACATTTACACAGTTGATCTAAGATTAAATAACACTTTTCCCTTTTGATTCTCTGATTTTTCTTTTTTTATCCTGTTTCAAAGTCGCTCTGTATCTGTAAAACAGCTCAGCACAAAACCAGTTTTCAACCATTTTTAACATAAAATATTTTTAAGAGGTTTAACTGAGGAATTTATATAAAACAGATTCATATTTATATATCATTAACGTAATGCTACATTTACAAATATGTATTTTATTTAGAAAATTCATTTCACTCAGAGATTGTGGTCACTGGTGTTATCAGGACTCTTATTACATTTTAACACAGTTTTTTTAGCTCTATTAAACTGCCTCTTTGGGTCGAGGCTCACCAGAGAGGAAGCAGCTCAAGGCATGAGAAGGTGAGTCACACTCGCTCACTGTATTTCATTAATTTATTAATAATCAGGCAGCTCATAACTTTTATGCGTCACCGGTGTTATGTGCTTTAATGACTGGGTGATTAGAAGTTTGTCAAAATAATACCATGTATCATTTTATTACTGATTTTAAATAGCTGCACAAGGTCACCTGATCAGCCAATGAGTCAGCCAATTTACAAAATCCTTGGTTTTAACCAGAATGTCACTGAGTCACCGTCACTGGTGTTTCACCACATTCATATAACACCAGTGACTGTAAGATATGTCTGGAATTCAGCTCCTTTCTGCATATATGATAATAGGAAATGTTAATGAACATATTAAGATTGTCTCCAAATGGAGAACGACCCTTATACACCAACAACAGCTGCTGGGTATTCTGGTAAAATTCTGCCAGTTCAGTCACATTCCGGCACCATAGCCACCTCACAATTCACAGGATGCGGCGACGTTCCATGGAAAACTGTGCACAGAGCACAACATACTGCGTTTAGGACATTTTTGTTCACCACATATTTTGCATTCCCACTCAAAAATACAGCTTAGCTGGTCTAAACTGGTCTGGTGCTGGTTTGGCTGGTCACCCAGAACGGTCATGCTGGTTGACCAGCGTGCCAGCATCCAAAACACAACAGATGCTGGTCTAAGCTGGTTTTCTATCAGGGACAACGCAACTACACAATAACACGCCTATAAATAGACTCAGCTGGTTAAGCAGGTTACTCTGATGGGAGCGTTCTCATGCACCCTGGGTTCTATGTTCCCTAAGGCCTTTTTATGGTCCCTCAGAGCTCAGTGTGATGCGTCAGGAAACCACTGAGTTTCCCAGCTCATAGCTCAGAAAGTGGCAGCTAATATGTTTGTGAGCCTGTTTTAGAACTTTGTATACTTTGGTTCCTAAGGGTAGGAACCAAAATTAGTGACAGACTGTAATACACTACAGGAAGCAGTGAGGTAGTGCTAATTAGCAATAACGTTCTAAATGTTCTCAAAGTCAAATTAAAGTATGAGTAATAAGACAGGAACACAGGGAGGACTCCACCCTGAGAACCAAATTAACTCAGTATTTGAGTTAACCGGACTGTTCCTACTGTAACAAATAAAAATCTAAGGTAACAGTCAGTTTAGTCGTGTTTGGTGTCTGAACTTTGCTTCTTTAGTTCTGCATTGGAGCTACGAGGCTAACGTAGCTAGCAGGTACATTAGCATGATGCTAATGGCGTGCCTAAATCAAATCGTAGCATGTGAAGTTGTTCAGTAATAGACTTCAGTAGTACCTGAGACTGTAGGACCTACAAGTACAAACAAAATTCAGCTGCCAATACTCCTAAAAAGATTTCTTTAGTAAAGACAACGGTTCTATATAGATCCATGAACAGTCAGAACCATTTGCATGATTAAAGAGTTCTCTGCATGGTGAAATCGTTCTTCAGATTGATGGAGTTGTGTTATATATGGTTCTATATAGAGCATTTTCTTTATAGCACCAAAAAAGGTTCTTTCATTGGGTCAAGCTTGACTTCATAATAGAAAAACCCTGTTTGGTGCTATATAGAAACATTTACAATAGGATTCTATGTAGAACCATCTACAGCTCATTCTCCATTAATTCGAAGAAGCATTTCATCATCACCTTTAATCATGGCAATGGTTCTGAGTGTTCATGGTTCTATATAGAATCACTGTCTTCACTAAAGAACCCTTGAAGAACCATCTTTAAGGGTGTTTTAGCCAGCCTACATGTTTTTTTGTCAAGGTCATTACTTGTGAGCTACACAAGCCTTGTAGCTCCAGCGCTAAAACTAAAAGTCTTTCCCTGAAGTTGATGAAATCAATAAAAACGTACACAAACACAGACTCTGAGTCAAAGGAAACAGTTTAATTTCATCCCGCAGTGGCACAAGTACATTTCTTATAAAAATAAAATTTCAGACTGTACACACTGAGCTGGACCTGCTTCCTCTCTCAGCAGCACTGAGATCCAGTGCAGGACAGAAGCTCAAAATAACAGGTACTGAAACATTAAATTAAACATTAAACTCTGCTCAGCGTCATGAATATCATGAACCCAGTAGATAAACATTTCAATGAAATCTTCGTTGCCTCTCCAATGAAACGTGTTACAGGGCTAGCACAATCGCAGCACTCTGATTGGCCGGCCGGCTGATTGTGACTGGCTGGTTGTAGTCTCTCAGAGGGGCGTGGTCTCCATCGGACCCAACGAACATTCATGTTTGTAACTGCGCTTGGGGCCCCAACCCAATCAGCGCATCAGTAGTGCTAGCCCTGCCCCCAGACCGGCGAATCCTGCGAAGGCCATAAGAGCGTTCCGCACGCGCGACTCGGAGTCGTCCTCGCGGAAGAACTCCACAAAACCATCCTGAAACACAAAAAAACAAACAACGGGTCAATAAACAAGACATTCAGTGATAGGAGACACATTCTGTTCACCAGTAACATCACTGGTCATTTATCTGTGAATATTTATCACTTTTACACCATTTGTTTATGGATCAATGCTACAGAGAAATATAACACTGCTGTAATGTACAGTAAAATAAATAAACTGATACTTCAGTGCAGACAAACATTCTGCTCCTCTGATTCAGTGCAGCAGAGGGCCCAGTGAAGGACAGTATGGATGCTGTGCTACCTGAGTGCAGGTCATGAGGCGGTGGTCATTGAGAACTCGGCCTCAGATCACATGACCACGCTGCTCTCAGGTGTGAGACACCTGACTGCATAATTAAAGAGTGGAAAAACAGAGCTCATCTACACTCAGGCTGTCTACAGTTACTGACCACAGCGCTCAATGGAGTCTCATTCATACCGCACAGCACTGTGGGTAAAAACAGACTATGTCTCACAGTATTAGACTAAACTAAAGCCTTGGACTTCAACGCTTCAAATATGTTAATAATGGTTTATTTACAAAAACTGTTGAGCTGCATCCACGTGCTGCAGCATACTATCATACTATCACACTACACCATATTACACCAGCCTAACCAATATTTCACTGTTCTACCAAATATTTCACAATTCTACCCAACAATACACCACATTACACCATTCTACCTCACACTGCCCATTACTACACCATTCTACCCAACAATGCCCATTATTACACCATTCTACCCCACACTGCCCATTACTACACCATTCTACCTCACACTGCCCATTACTACACCATTCTACCCCACACTGCCCATTACTACACCATTCTACCCCACACTGCCCATTACTACACCATTCTACCCCACACTGCCCATTACTACACCATTCTACCCCACACTGCCCATTACTACACCATTCTACCTCACACTGCCCATTACTACACCATTCTACCCCACACTGCCCATTATTACACCATTCTACCCAACACTGCCCATTATTACACCATTCTACCCCACACTGCCCATTATTACACCATTCTACCCCACACTGCCTAACAAACTATACTATGCTATCTAATAGTACCCAATATTATATCATTCTACCCAATATTACCCATTATTAGACTATACTACCGATTACTACGCTATACTATCCTATACTACGCCATTATACTAATTTTACCCAATCCTACCCATTATAACACCATTCTACCCCGTAATACTCCATATTACACCATACTATCTAATAGTACACCATATTACACTGTCCTACCCAGTACCACCCCATTCTTTCCAGTACTACACCATATACCATACACATTACACTACTCTGCCCAATTCCACCCTTTATTACATAATTCTAGCCAGTACATCATACACCATTCTACCAAATACTACCCATTACCACACCATACTATCCAACACCACACCATTCTACCAAATACTACCCATTACTACACCATACTATCCAACACCACACCATTCTACCAAATACTACTCATTACTACACCATACTATCCAACACCACACCATTCTACCAAATACTGCCCATTACTACACCATACTATCCAACACCACACCATTCTACCAAATACTACCCATTACTACACCATACTATCCAACACCACACCATTCTACCAAATACTACCCATTACCACACCATACTATCCAACACCACACCATTCTACCAAATACTACCCATTACTACACCATACTATCCAACACCACACCATTCTACCAAATACTACCCATTACCACACCATACTATCCAACACCACACCATTCTACCAAATACTACCCATTACTACACCATACTATCCAACACCACACCATTCTACCAAATACTACCCATTACTACACCATACTATCCAACACCACACCATTCTACCAAATACTACCCATTACTACACCATACTATCCAACACCACACCATTCTACCAAATACTACCCATTACTACACCATACTATCCAACACCACACCATTCTACCAAATACTACCCCACACTGTCCAATATCACACCATATTACACCACTCTATTCAATCCTACCAATGACATCTCAAATACCACCTATTACTACACCATCCTATCCACTACTTCTCAATACTACCAGTTCCTACAACATATTACCCATTACTACACCACACAGCCCAATACTACACTACCTAACCTTATACTATCCATTACTGCCCTCTACTGCCCCCGCATTACTCATTAGGTGGGGTAGACGGGGTCTAAGCAGCCCCCTTATGGCAGAACGCCGTTATTCTGGTAAAGATATGAGTGAATATACTGCTTTGCTGGACTCACCCAGGCTTTGTTGTTGATGAGCCACTGTCGCTGGTCTGTGCTGAGGTACGTTGAAATGTGTTGTATGACGTTCTCCACACACTGTTCTCTGTCTGCTTCCTTCAGCTGTTCACAGACCACCGCACCGAACGCCACCAGACTGGCAATCCGCCCCCAGTTGGTGGTCCCATCACTGAACAGGGTCTTCGCCACGCTGCTAATAAGCTCCATGCTATCGTCCTGCTCTTTCAGATTGAGCCGCTGGACCATACCTGAGGAGAGAAACCACCACACATCAACCACTAGAGCTACAGCTAACGATGACTGACCTACCGCCTACTTCAGTTCCACAACGCCTGTGTGGATCATATTAACATTATAGAGCGCCCCCTACACTTCCTGTAGTGTATTACAGTCTGTCAGAGTGACTGTGTGGATCATATGAACATTATAGAGCTTTTTAAATGAAACAGTAGAAGCCATATCGCCCCCTACACTTCCTGTAGTGTATTACAGTCTGTCAGAGTGACTGTGTGGATCATATGAACATTACAGAGCTTTTTAAATGAAACAGTAGAAGCCATATCGCCCCCTACACTTCCTGTGGTGTATTACAGTCATTCTGTATTCAGAATGGATTACATGAACATTTTAGAGCTTTTTTATTTTAGAAATAAGAGACTCACTGTATGTATGTGCTTCAGTATTTGTTTTATTTTTTCATTTAAACCAAAAATAAACATTTTAATCTATAATCTAGTTTCACTTCCTTTGGTTTTTATGCTCTCTGCACACCTACAGAGCTGCACTTTTTGTGGCACAATGCAAATAAGGATAGCAAATATTTGCATCAAGATCCAATGCAAATATCATTTCCATTCCTCATTCCTGCAGCAAACACAGCACTGTCATTCATCCAAGCGACCACAGGATGGTTCTAATCATGTATAAACACCTCTGCAGCAGGAAATGTCTGGGACTTTTGTGGCCTGGCTGTGGCTCCACCACTCTAACACTACTTCACATCCCACAGCCTGTTTACTCTGAGTGCGCCGTCTTTAAGGTGTTGACCTATAGCAGGAAAATCCCCTGAACGGCACAAACACCCCAGAGACCTTTACCGCCTCCAGGACTGCCCCGCAGGTACGGTCCCTGCTGCAGTTGGAAGACTGTGGCTGGGTTTGGGTTTGTTTTGGTGTGTTTTTCCCCCAAGTGTGTGGGCAGGAGGCTGATAAACAGGTTAAACTCTCAGGCTAATCTGATCTGGAAACACCTCCAGGAATTCAACCACTATAACCTCAAACTAATCATCATCAATCATCAATACAGCGCAGCACAGAGCAATCCAGTCTAATCAGAAGACACTGAGCAGTAATGCAATGTGAAATCTAATCTAACAGAATATAATATGCTATAATGTGTAACATATAGTGCTACTTAATACAACAAAGCTAATGTAAAATAAATAATGTTTTACTATGTAATATAATATCCAATCTAATAAAGCACAATGTAAGTGTTTTAATGTTATTTAATGCAATTACATTAAACAATGTGAAATAAAATGTAATCTTATGCATTATAATGCACTGTACTACCTTGTAATGCAATGTGATGTAGTGAATTAACATAAAAGGTTTACATACAGTTATGTAATATGGTATAATGTGGTGTAATGTCATGTAATACTATAAAATATAATAATAATAATAATAGCAAAAGTAATGATTGAATATAATGATGTAATGTACAAGGCAAAATTTCCCCGACTTGGTTTCAGCCTAACCTGCCGCTTTCGTGGTGAACCACCACTGGAAACTCCCTTCTAGAATTAGGCTTAATCCAGTTCTGGGAAACTTGCGCTTAACTTCTGCTTTTGACAGACTGTCAAATATGCAGTACTATACGCTACACAGGAACCAGTAAACGAACTAACTCAGATTCTATTAAAGCTGCAGTCTGCGTTTTTGATTAAAGGTGCGGTATGGGCTATGACTCAACGTGTAAAACAGCGTCTGTATTTCTATCCTAAGTGGGGGTGAAGCGTATGAGCGTGTCTGTATCTCTAGTTTTGGACGGCGTTTTTCCAGCGAAGTGCATGCGCTGCTGATAAGCGCAGTTTCTCAGAGTGAAACTGGGCCTCAGTTCCAGGAACCCTCCACCACACGCACGCAGCACAGCCCAGCCGCGAACCGTGATAAAGACACACAGGCTGTAAGACTACAGCTTTACCCATAGATCTGTACATATACACACACCCACACGCCACTGACTGACTCATCTACAGACCTAGATGTGCCCACAGAAACCAGCGGAAAATAAACAAAAACAAGCAAACATGACTCATTAGCGGGCACTAATGCAACACAGTGAGGTGTGGTGCAACACACAGTAACGTACTGCACAGTGTTGTGTACAACAGCAACACAGAGTGACATGAAACAAGCCAAAAAACGATCGTAAACACTACAAATACAAACAAATTCAGACCAAAAACTCTCCTTTAAGGGGATAAAACCACGCACAGGCCTCTCCATTGTGCCCCTTAGCCGTTAGCTTAACTATTTACTCCCATTCGCTGTCCTTTATTTTGAACTCCCCGTTCCACCTTAAATGGCGCAGCAGTTGCATTATGACGCCAGCGGCGTCATAATGCAACTGCTGCGCCATTTAAGGTGGAACGGGAAGATTCGAAAACGAAGCCGTGTTTACTCACCGTTGTACGCGATACTGTGCTTGTGGATCACCCCCTCCACCACCCTGCTCATCGTGCCGTGGGAAGGGTGCTTGTTCCGGGTCTTCTGGCCGATATATCCGCGGTAAAAACCGCCGATGAGCCGGCGGGTGTCCTCCACCAGGGCGCTGCCGCCGAAGTCGGGCACGAAGTCGTCGGACTCCGGGGACTCGGGCAGCGATCCTCCGCCCATGGAGGCCTTACTAGCGGGTCCGGACGATGCCTGTAGTCCCTCCAGGCCGCGGTCGGGCCGGTCCGGGCGGTCCAGCGGGCTCTCTGAGCCCTTCTTAAAGAGCATCCTCCCCGCTCCGTCACACAGCAGAGTAATGGCGGTGCTCTCCATGCTAACGATGCTAACGCTGCGAATGCTAACGCACAGGAGTATCTGCACTGCGGAAGAAGCGCCGGCGCCCGGCGCTCTTATATCGACTACGTGCGTGCGTCAGCCGTGACGCAGTACGCCCGCATCTCCCTAGGTATTGGAGTTCCGGGTAGTTCCGTGGGCAGCGGAAACAAACACAGCAGAGAAGGTTGTGTTTGTGTTTATTATTAATTTGACCCTAATTTTCCCTTAATTTACATATTAATTAACCTGATTCAACTCCAGAACCTCCTGGTCCTGCACTCATACTGCTGAACTGATGTGCGCAGTGTTTATTTCACCTCTATCTAAGACATTGTTTTCATTTTTTATTTATCTTTTACTTTTTTATTAGTAATACAATTATAGATTATATAAGTGGGTTATTAATAAAATATTACTTTTGTTTTTATTGGTAGTAACAATGACAAATTATATAATACACTCTACTGTTCATGTTAGATGTGACATTAATATAAGAGTCCATCATGTTTTAACTGTGGGGATCAAACAGACAGACTATATTGTTTATCATTTATATTCTATATATATATATATATATATATATATATATATATATATATATATATATATATATAATTTCTATATATATTCTATATACACCGCTCAAAAAAATAAAGGGAACACTCAAATAACACATCCTAGATCTGAATGAATGAAATATTCTCATTGAATACTTTGTTCTGTACAAAGTTGAATGTGCTGACAACAAAATCACACAAAAATCATCAATGGAAATCAAATTTATTAACCAATGGAGGCCTGGATTTGGAGTCACACACAAAATTAAAGTGGAAAAACACACTACAGGCTGATCCAACTTTGATGTAATGTCCTTAAAACAAGTCAAAATGAGGCTCAGTATTGTGTGTGGCCTCCACGTGCCTGTATGACCTCCCTACAACGCCTGGGCATGCTCCTGATGAGGTGGCGGATGGTCTCCTGAGGGATCTCCTCCCAGACCTGGACTAAAGCATCCGCCAACTCCTGGACAGTCTGTGGTGCAACTTGACGTTGGTGGATGGAGCGAGACATGATGTCCCAGATGTGCTCAATCGATTTCAGGTCTGGGGAACGGGCGGGCCAGTCCATAGCTTCAGTGCCTTCATCTTGCAGGAACTGCTGACACACTCCAGCCACATGAGGTCTAGCATTGTCCTGCATTAGGAGGAACCCAGGGCCAACCGCACCAGCATATGGTCTCACAAGGGGTCTGAGGATCTCATCTCAGTACCTAATGGCAGTCAGGCTACCTCTGGCGAGCACATGGAGGGCTGTGTGGCCCTCCAAAGAAATGCCACCCCACACCATTACTGACCCACTGCCAAACCGGTCATGCTGAAGGATGTTGCAGGCAGCAGATCGCTCTCCACGGCGTCTCCAGACTCTGTCACGTCTGTCACATGTGCTCAGTGTGAACCTGCTTTCATCTGTGAAGAGCACAGGGCGCCAGTGGCGAATTTGCCAATCCTGGTGTTCTCAGGCAAATGCCAAGCGTCCTGCACGGTGTTGGGCTGTGAGCACAACCCCCATCTGTGGACGTCGGGCCCTCATAACATCCTCATGGAGTCAGTTTCTAACCGTTTGTGCAGACACATGCACATTTGTGGCCTGCTGGAGATCATTTTGCAGGGCTCTGGCAGTGCTCCTCCTGTTCCTCCTTGCACAAAGGCGGAGGTAGCGGTCCTGCTGCTGGGTTGTTGCCCTCCTACGGCCTCCTCCACGTCTCCTGGTGTACTGGCCTGTCTCCTGGTAGCGCCTCCAGGCTCTGGACACTACGCTGACAGACACAGCAAACCTTCTTGCCACAGCTCGCATTGATGTGCCATCCTGGATGAGCTGCACTACCTGAGCCACTTGTGTGGGTTGTAGAGTCCGTCTCATGCTACCACGAGTGTGAAAGCACCACCAACATTCAAAAGTGACCAAAACATCAGCCAGAAAGCACAGGTACTGAGAAGTGGTCTGTGGTCCCCACCTGCAGAACCACTCCTTTATTGAGTGTTTCTTGCTAATCGCCAATGATTTCCACCTGTTGTCTATTCCATTTGCACAACAGCATGTGAAATTGATTGTCAATCAGTGTTGCTTCCTAAGTGGACAGTTTGATTTCACAGAAGTTTGATTTACTTGGAGTTATATTGTGTTGTTTAAGTGTTCCCTTTATTTTTTTGAGCAGTGTATATGTATAATTCTTAATGTACTGGACAAAATAATTGAAAATAATAATAAAATTCTATATAAAATATAAAAAATAATATAAAATATAAAAATAATATAAAAAGTTTTGAACAGTATATATAAAGTTTGTACATATTTTATTCATATTACATTTGTGTTTCTCTCTCTCTCTCTCTCTCTATATATATATATATATATATATAAATTTTGGAAACAACGATGTTTTGAAAAGGAGAAAACAGCTGATGTAAAACGAAAGTCTCTAATAAAGGTGGTATTAATCATGATATGTCATTAATACTCCTAATATTTGTAAACCAAACGCGGAAGTTCCTGACAGTGGTCTGTACTGCGTTTCGGGACAAAAGCCTTCATGCTGTCAGAACAAAATCTCGTATCTGCACAATAGTAAGTCTACAGGAGTTAACAGGAAAAACATTCTTCGAAAATCACAAAATTAAAGTGCGAAAGTGCAAACTGGAGATTTGAAGTATAACTGGAGATCCACTGGTCCCTTCAATACAATGCCTCCTTAAATCCACTGCTACTTTAATTCCACTGCCTCCTTAAATTCATTGCCACCTTAAATCTATTATTTGGAAGAGGATTACAAAAACAGTATGTTAACCAAGCCAACTTAATTATTTACAAGGCCTAATATAAAATGATTTAGAATCAGGATGAGAATCACTTCATTTCACCAAACATGTTGCACATGCAAGGAATTTGTGAGTCACACATTTATTGCATGTACCAAAGTGAACAGACCAGACAAACACACAAGACTGTTAAGCAATATTTAACTAAGAGGCGAATAAAAGAACAACAGAATGAATAGAATAGAATATAGTTGAAAGCGTTGTTGCTGACTGTGTTCTAGATTGGTTACAGCTGTAAGACTCTCAGTGGAAAATAAGTGATGATATGTGGAATTTTTAAAACGCTGTGTTTAACCACCAGTGCGTCACCCAGGAAACACTGAGTAAAAGGCCAGTGGGCCGCCAGCTTTGCCGTCAGTGGGCCTCTTACTATCTCAGAATAAACAGTCAAAAAACTGGAATAAAGCTCTCTGTCTCTTTCGCTGGCACTGCGGTTACCATGTAACTTCATGCTTCATGCCGTCCGTACGGCGCGTACCACTGTTAGGTGCGCCGTGACGGTTTCTTCAACACACACATGTGAACGCAGCCTAAGAGTGATGATGCAGTTTCAGTCCTTCAGCCTTTATCTCGGACATTCCTCCGTATCTGCCCTCATGACGCTCCTGAGAAGCAGCTCAGGTATTTCATTCATCTCTCCGTCTCTCTCTGTTCACCTCATTCACTAATAAACGTGTTATTAACGTTCCTCTCGGTGCTGCTCAGACAGGATCATCAGATCACTTACAGCAGGTTGGGAGGCCTGGGTTTGGGGGTCAGAGGTCACGGAGAAATGGACTGTGTCCTGATAGCGTGCTAAGCTAACACCCTCTGTAAGAGTTCTCACAGTGAGAAGATGAACTGATCAGCCTGAAGGTTAAAGTTCACAGTGCATACGTGTGCAGTGACTCGCCGCCCCCTCTGAACCGGTATGAATTCTTCAGCCCATCTGACTCACACTGAGACTGTAGCTGAGTTCCAGAAGCTCCGTCCACACTGTGTTAAAGTTTCACAGTGATTTTCCATGGAACCGTCATTTCAGTAGGTCAGACAGACCGTGAGGGTCAATCAGAAACACTGACACATCAAAGACGGTGTGCAGAGAACAATCGCTCTCAGTCACACGGCTGAGTGACACACTGACGGTCACTGATTAATCCCCCCACCAACATTCCTCCCCCCACCTACTCACTACCCCCCCACCAACATTCCTCCCCCCACCTACTCACTACCCCCCCACCAACATTCTTCCCCCCACCTACTCATTACCCCCACAAGACACGTTTCTATCTATAAACACTGAGGCCTTAATCCTTATTTACATTACAGTACATTTACTTACAGCACGCTCTTCAAAATAAAGGTCCCTAAATGATTCTTAGCTTGGATTAACAGTCATGGGCAAAAGTTTGTGCACCCCTGTCCAACTCTGTGTGGTGTTGATTTTCTAAGTGAGAAAGTGAAAATAAGTTAACACCCCCTCCACAGCTGGGTTTCTCCTCCCTGGACCACAAGCAGGCTGTGAATCAACCTCTGGTGGTCCTCGGTTCTCTACTGAGGGGGGGTCAGTGGTCCTTAGAGAACTGTTGAAGACACTTTATGTCATAGAAGTCCTCAAGAAAAGAACTGACTTAATAATAAAAGAAATATTAATGCTTTCAAACATTTAGCAGCATTAAAACACAACCTGCAACAACAGCGCATTAAGCAGCTTCGTTGTTTTCTGTAGTGAGGCCTTAAAATCATCTGCAGAGATGTTACACCTAATTAGCCGCTGTCCTGCTCGATTTGTGCTGCATTCAAACTGAAAATACACAGAAAACCGTGTTACAGGGAAGATGAGATAACAGATCACAGGGATAAGCAGGTCAGCGCTGAGCTCCCCTCATTCATCCCGCAGGTAATGAACAGTGTTTTACACAGTCCGTCGTTGAGATCCATAAGATACAGAGAAATATCTTCACCTGGCCTCTGCTCCCAAAAACCAGAACAAGGACCTGAATTTAGATTGGTTGGCAGAGAAATGTTGATTTTATCATCAATATTTATTTAATTATTATTACAAGTATTATTGTGAAGTACTCAGTTTTTCCGTTTCATTATATTCTGAAAATATCTTAATCTGGTCTTGTCCTTGAGTGGGTCAGTGGTTCTAGACGGTCAGAACAGAGCTAATTTACATATA